GCCACTCTGCCTCGTGCTTGCGATCAGCCGGCCAAGGATCTTCCTGACCAGCCGAGTTTAGATCTGAATCTACACTGCAGCATCACTACGGAAACGGCCGTGGCCTCGCGCTGGGGCAAGTCGGTCACGAACTTCGTGCCGTTTCCTTGGCACCGTCATCCGGCCAATGCCGCCAAGATCTTCAAGCCACGAACTCACGAGCTGCACTCTTGCTGATATTTGCTGATTGCAGGCATTTGCAAACTTCAGGGCCGAACTCAGCATGGCTGTGTCGCTCAAGAACATGGACCCCACATACCTGAGGCCGGTCCCGGCACCAGAAAACCTCCCCCACAATGGCAAATGGCAGCTGCAGTCCAGATACGGCATTACCAATGGCGGTGTGATTGCCAAACCTCGCAGGACCTGAGGGATATACCTGGGTGGGCTGGCGCAACATGGTGGGCACCTAGACGGTGACTGCCTTGGTGACTGCCTTGGTGGCTGCCTGGTGCAGCTGCGGCACTGGCTCCATTCAACCGCGTTCTCATTCCAGTGACCGCTGAAGCCCTGCCCCATGGCCACAGAGAAATAATGATCCTGAGAGCTCTGGTGCTTAAAGTGGCAAAGGATGGCAAAGGACATTGATTCAATGAAAAACGTGCTGAGCACTGTGACTCAACTGTCCTCTCAGCCAGGTGGCCAGGGGCGCCAGCCTGCTCTCCACATTGGCCTCCACTAGGGCTCGAGCTGCATCCAGCTTGAAAATGTACCTCAGCTGCACACAAGCTTTTCGAAAGCTGTGTAAGCTGATGACCACAGAATACAAGAGATGAAGGTTCTGCTGTCCGCTGTCCACGCTGCCCCACCGTCCAGAGAGTGTAGCCTGACATGAGGTCTCCCACGGAGTCTTGCACAGCTGTCTGAAACTTCCGAGGACAAGGCCCGGCTGTGCCAAGTGAGCACTGATGCGTGAAATGTCGGGTTCCGTAGGGCTTCGACCAAGATACCTCGGGAGCGCCACGGAACAGCATGTCTCACCATCAGACTTCAGATGCACGCGGGGATGTTTATGGGAAGTTGCTACTTGTGTCTGCATACAGTACTCACAGGCTCACGGCCAACTGCCATCTGGATGCATCAGGTTCCAGTCATGACTTCGAGCCTCTTCTAAGTAGCTGCCAAGTCGTTCCTTGAAGCTCTCTTGCCTTCCAGGGCTTGAGGCTGAGCTGCTATGAGTTGGACGAGTGCTGTTTGCAATGTCCATGCGGCTGGGGCACAGATCAAAGTCATCTTCCAGAATCAATGCTGACGGAATCTCATGCTCAACCTCACAACTTAAGAAAAACAGACAGTTCTGCGGCCCACAGCTCTTTGGTGTGGCCACGATACCATGTAGTGCCAGATTGTGAAGTGGCTCATGAAGCAGCCAAGCTGACCAGTGGTCAGGTGTGGCAGCGTGTTCCTTCCAAGCCAAGTGGGTGCAACGTTTGTTTCTGTAACAGTTCGTTGGAACATGCAGCCTGAAAACATTGTTGAACCAATACCTTGAGAAGGCTGATTGCTGAAGAGATTCTTGTGCCCACAGTAATCAGGCAGCGTACGCGCACCCAGCCTTACGGGATGGAGTCGCTCAAGGTCGTTCAAACCGTGAATGCACTTAGGCCAACTTCGACCTTCCACAACCTTCCCGAGCTCAAAGAAGCAAGCGCCCCACCACCTCTCAATCTCAATCCACACAGGCACCAACCGCCAGATGCTGTTGCCTCCAAGCAGCTTCTCCACCTCCTCCTGGACAACGATACACGAGAGTCTCGAGAATGACTGTAGGTCGGGCTCGAGCCAACCCCAAACCTTAGGGCCTTAGGGCCTTAGGGGACCCTGGGACTGTTCCCTAGGCCTGGGAGGTAAAGGCATCGCCGTCAATGGCATCCACAATCTTTGCATTTAATCCTTCCGCATGGAGCTGCGCCAAGACCTGAGGTCTTGCAGGAAGCAATGAAGTAGCTGCTGTTGGTGCTGCTATGACGTTTTCGTTGTTCCTTAGGTGCAAAAGCAATGGCGCCCCCGGGCACATTTAGGGTGACGTCTTCTTGCCAGGATTCTGGGTTTAGGGACATTCCAAGTGAAAGAGGTCTGTGGCTTTGGAGGGTCGCATAGTTGTTCGGGGCTGCTCATGCTCACAGCTGACGAGTCCCTAAGATTCACGCTCGACGGGGAAACAAAAATTGGACTGAGGGTGGGCGCTAAGCCCATGGAAGAGCAGGATTTAGGGCTGCTTTCCTGTTTACAGTGGTCAGCGAAGCGGTGTGCAAAGTCTTCCTCCGCATCGAGGTGGTACCCCAAACAAAAGCGTACAAGCATGTACAGTACGTACAGTAGAGAGATCGGGGTTGATCTCCTTGCCATGGAGAACATCCGGGAACTATCAGGGATGTAGTGTCATGGCTCTCTGCGACCACTGGGTGCGGGTCGAGGCGGTCAAGACGCTGTGTTTACAATCAATCCGAGTAGCCAGGGAATGTCTTTTGGGCACTTCAATCGCAGGGTGTGGCTCATGCATGGAGCTGCAGGCAAGTTACATGTTTCAGCTTTGCGGGTCTGCGCGGCCTTTGCGACATGCTTCGACAAAGGATTTGCATATGTAGCCTCTGCAAGCCGAGCAACAGGTTGATGATGAATATGTTGTCCATGGGATCTCCCAACGCTTCAGCATCAGCTGCTTTGCAAAACCGTTGCGGCTTTGAATTGAAGCTCACCTGACACCATGCCAAAGCTCACACAGCTGCATGGCAGAAAGAAGAACAAAGCGACGGCTGGCGCCTCGTGTATATGCTGTTCCTCCAGGCGCGGCCAATGTTGCAAGCGGCTTTTGGAAACGCGCCAGACTTCATCATGCTCCTGCAATGCGAAGTCGTACATCTTTGGCGTCGTCCTAAAAGACGATGACAAGCAGTCCTCTTTTGCAATCGTGCCATCGGTGCTGTACGACCTTAGACGGCGTACCCTTCAAGCTGGCCTTAAGTGGCCCACGGACGTCCTGCAAGCTAAGCACTTCGCTTTGCGTTTACCCAGTCATAGTTTTGCACCTTTGGTGGGCATGTGGTGGCCGTGCCATCAAGCAGCATCAGTTGCAGCATCAATCTCTCCCCTCTGCACAAGTGCCAGCTGCGAATGGGCAGCCGTGTAGTCCACGGTTCTGTCCTTGGTGCATTGGCCGCCTGTAATTCTTGGTCTTCATGGTGTTCAGTGTCAGGCAGAGGGGTAGCTGGGTAGCTGAATGTTGCCAAGCATCGTGGTAAAACTTGTGCAGACGAACTGTGTCCTCCAATTAGGAGGGGATCAGTCTACCTTACTGGCATAACAACAAACCTCAATGCACAGAGGCAGCTGTCTAGGAGGGGCCTCATCTAGCGGCACAGGCTCCTGCAAGGAACTGCCGACAGCCCGCAATCCTTTCAAGATAGGGTGCATCCGACACCATCTGGAGCCATCTTGAAATTTGGAAACACCCACTCGGCCTGTGCGGCTTGAACTCCACCAACATTTCCAGGAGCAAAACTCGAAGTTTTCAGATCTGCCTTATCACGCGAATTATCACGCATGCTCTGACAACTTTTGCGGATTTCCGCGTGGAATGGTCACGGAGCCTGCTTGCTTCCTTCAAGTGAGTCAAGTGAGTCAAGTGTCTAAGGCGGCCAGCGGCTGCACTGACGAGCGCCAGCCCCAACCATTTGGGCCTCTGCACACTTTGCACCCCAGTGTACCCCATTGCACCCCATTACACCGAATGATACCGAATTACACCCTACTGAGCCCGTTCGGCCTTGGACGCTTCTTTGCACCAGTGCGACCAGCCTGCCGGTTGCGCGCTAGCAAGCGCACACACACACACACAGACACACACACGCGGGCGCAAAAACCAGGAATGCTCAGTGAAATGAATCCGATATGTGAAACTTCCTGTGGTGGGTTTCAGTGTTCAGAAAGTCGTAGGCAAGGTGGTCTTCATGGGCCCACCCGCCAGCTGGTACATTGGCACCAAGCGCAGCAAAACGAAGCACTTGCCCACAAGCTGAAATCCGTGATGGCGGCGAGACTGGAGGCAATGTAGACTATGTGCTTTCAAGCAATGTGGCCTTCAGAGAATACTATGCGCGATGTGGTCTTCAAGAGATGACGTTACCAGGATGAATAGAACGCCAAGCGTACAGTGCGATCTGCAAACAGAAGCCGCTGCGATATGGACTCTGTGATCGTTTTTCCATTCCGCGCGCCAACATTACATCAGACGTTGACAAAATTCACGCAAGCTTCAGCTTCATGATTTTCTGGTATCAGATGCAAAGCCCGGTTTTCGACCGAGCGCCGGTCGAAAACGCACACCCCGCAGGAGTTCATTGCTGAGTCCTCCCGGGTACTAGTAGGTGCATCAGGCGTCCCTGATTTTCTCAGTTCTATAATTCTATGTCCTTGCACAGCTTCGTTGGCAGAGCAAGTGGCGCAGGCATCTTTTCTGCACCTTGCAAATTTAGAAAACACGAACAAATTCAAAGGCTCGTTCACACCAACAGTTGGGACCTAGTCCGTGGAACAAGTGACTACTAAAGGCAGGATCGCGCATGCACGCAAGCACGGGCACGCACACGCACAAGGCAAACTCACGCTTTCAGGGTCCTGTACCATCCGGAAGCTGCAATTGCGTTGCAACAGAAGGCCTGTAAGCCCCTTTACATCGTATTTCCCAGTGTTGATTCCCAGCCGCGGAATGCAAAAACTCGCTTTGCTCTGAACGTGCAGTTGTAGTACAAGTATAGGAAATGATAGGAAGGAGCGTCTACCGTGCATCAAGGTGAGGTGTGCTCTTGCTGGCTCCTCCATGCATTTCAGCGGCCGCAGCGCTGTGGCCACTCTTTGCTTGAGCCAGTAGTTAAGTTGGCGCGGCGAGCAGTGGGGGCAGCTCCACGAGAGCAGTGGCAATGGCATAGCACGTCGCAAATCACCGCAGCATGGCGTAGCACCTCCTCTTGCTCGCGATGAAACTCGACAAGGGCCAGCTCTTCCTGCATCTGCCACAAAGATGTACATGGCTCATTCTTCTCCGATTGTGGGATCCGAGAGGCTCCTCCCCCCGAGGCTCTTTCTCTACTCTTCTTCACCTCTTTCCGGACCTGCTTCTCCTTCTGCACGTTTTCTCTCAATTGCTCACTTGGCTCAATTTAGTTGGGGGCCTTCTTCTCTCCGCCTAATCCCTGTCGATACATCTTAGCGTCGCCTCGTTTTGCTAGGTGCCACGAGGTTGCCACTCCCCTTTTACAACGTGGATTTCCTAGATTCCTAGATGTTGCCAGCAGGGTGGTGAACCACTGCTTATGGCTGGAGAGGGCCCAGATAGACGTCACTCGCTCGCTCGCTCGCTCTCTTCTTCTTCTTCTTCTTCTTCTTCTTCTTCTTCTTCTTCTTCTTCTTCTTCTTGCTCGCTCTCTCTCCCTCTCTCTCCCTCTTCTTCTTCATTCTCCCGAACACGCACAGGTTCTTACCCTGTTACGAAGGAACCGTAAGTTTCGCGCACGGCTTTTTATCTTTGTCGACATCCTTCTGCACCACTGCAAAACATCCTCGGAACTAAACTCTCGCCTGGCTCTCTTGTTCACTTCGGAAGGCCTCGCGAGCATCACTGATGGCTGACGACTGCGCCGTCGGAGCTTGATCCAGCCCTGGAAAGGCGAGAGGCTCAACAGTAAAAGTCTACCAGCATTAAATTAAGGATCAGGGGTTCTTTTTGAACATGTTTCACCGGCTTCACATGAACGCCGAGCGAAAGAGAAGCACCCACAGAAAAAAGCAGAAGGTCACGACAGCACCCTTGTTTCCACGAGCGGCTCTTGGCTGAAGGGCGTCGGCGTCGGGTACTGTATTCACACGTTCTCGATTGACAAACGCCGTAGCCAAGAGAGGCCGCTGAGACCGCTGCACGCTCCCAGCATTCCAATGCCATGGACCAGACATACCAGACATCGTCCGCAGTCTTCGCTTTGCATGCATCGAGCGGAAGGTCAGGCGTAGATTCTTAAGATAGCAAAGCGTCGGCGATCAGCGGCTGCAACAAACTGCACAAAACGTTTTTTTGTCCGGTAGGAGAAAGCTCAAGAAGAACATTATGTAAACACCGTGGCTTGACGAGCTCTTGTTGATGCCAGCATTCTCCAAGCGGGAGGGGGCATGTTCCGAATGGTTCCCAAATCGCTTTCCGGCTTGATGGCACCTAAGTCTGATGTCCAGCAAGGCGGTCAACCACCAAAGGAATCACACAGTGGCGCCAAATGTCATGAATCGGCCGGCCGTGGTGCTTCCCTATGGAGTAGCCTATCAAGACGAGGGTGCGAGCACAGCGTCGCGCAGCGTGAGGGAATAGATGGTGTGTGGATACAGACCATGGCCTCGCGGCTCGAATTACCAGCTGGGAGGACTCAGAGAAAGCGGTGTCTTCCGCAAGCTCCAAGGGTGACACGCAGAATCTGCTTGGGTCCCGCTTGCGTCTGTGCAGTGAGGCGCCTGCTCGAAGCAAGGACGCTACCCTGGCAGCTGGCATGAGACTGGCGTGGTGTAAAGGACTGCACCAGTCTCGCGTTTGCGCAAGCCATTCCACAACGTGACGATGAGCAGCCGCAGCCTCAAAGGCGAAATACCCTCCCGTAACATCTCGCAAATGCGTTCGGCGGGCTCCATGGGAGGACAAAAGCTGGACAACAGCCAGGTGACCATTCTCACAAGCATACGCCATCGGGGTTGCACCAGTCTGATCTACGTCATCCACATTGAATGAGCCCAGCTCCAATAACAAGGACACGCAAGCAGCGTGGCCATACATGGCCGCGGCGTGCAACGGACTGTTCTCGACAGGCTGAAGCCTGAATTGTCTGAACTTCGACCCGTCTGCGCATTCTGCGTTCATGTGCATCAAAAACCATGCCACTTGTGCCTCGTGTCCCTGGGCACAAGCCTCCGACAAGCCGAGTGGCACATTGCAACCAAAGGCCGCCATCAAGCAGCGGAGCTTTCAGGGCATGTCCCTTTTGATCGGGACACCGATGCTGCTCGCGGCCGTGGTTTGCTAGTACTGTTTACAGTATGTAGTAGCGAAGTACATGCTTTGCTTTGTGGCTGCGCGGCTGCATGTAGCATCCCTGTCACATCTCGGCACTTGTCGGTTTGAGCATTCAGTGCCTGACACACGTCCAAGGGCAGCATGACGCAACGACGCAAAGCACATGGTTGTGCTGCGAAGCTGCCTGCTGGGATCTTCTGAGGGCCAGGAGGGAGTACTCCTGGAACCACTTGCAGAACACTTCAACCTAGGACAAGGTACCCCTGAGCCTGAAGGGACGAGGTCGTTCACAGAGACCTTCCCCATTGCAGTACAGCCAACAACAAGCAGTGAGACAAGCTTCACCGGGATGCCTGAACCGCCGCAGTGTGTTTGTTCTTCACTTTGGGAAGCCGCATGTCAAAATGGTGTTGCAGCTGCACCTGCAGGGGCTTTGGCTCGAGTAGGGGCTTGGCATATCGGGTAGGCATGGCCTGAAGCTGCGCCAGACAACCATGGGCTTTTGCAAGCAATCAAGCGAAGAAACATCCCACGCTGAGCCCGAATTGCTGCACAGGAAAACGCACGTCTCATGCTTGGAAAAAGTCCTAAGTACTAGCATTCCGTGGACTTCCGAAATGCACACGCGACACGACATGCAACAGTTTGCCTGCTTGTGCCCTTCTGCATCCCCTGACCAGCCAAGCAGAAGGAAAACGAAAGAAAAAACACACACAAAAAACAAGAAACAACGAAAACGATCACAACACCTTCATCAGAGCCCTGGCCTTCTTTGGCAGACTCCTTCCCAGCTTTGGCTGACCTGCTCCCGCACTGATCCCGGGCTGCATGTCTTTCAACGTGGTCGTACGATGTTGCACACCAGAGGAGTCCCAAGGGCATTCCACAGGAAGGCAACGTGAATGCAATGATATGCAATGATGCAATGTGACAATGCAACGTCTTTGAACACTTTGACCGGTTTGGACGGTTTGAACGGGCAGCTTTGAGCTCTTGGCGCGGAGTTTTCCGACATCCAGCCTCACAGCTCCGCGCAGCACCCAGCTTAAGCAGATTCAGGCCACCCTTGTTACATTCTTTCAGTCATTGAATGTCACTAACATGTCATTTAAATGTCCTTAAGCATCACTCAGTTAGGCCTAGTCAGGCGGTTCGGCAACTCCCTCAAGCAAAGAAAACAGCTTCCACACCTCCGCAATGGGCATCCCAGCAACCCGGAGGGCACCCCCAGCTGCGGGCCAATGGAAAGCGTCATTGCCAAAAGAGCTCAGGAACATGCGGAGCGGGCCCCAAAACACAAGGAATGTACCTTTGACTCACCAGGACAATGGCCAACAAGGCAACTGCCCAGGCATTTTTCGGACACGACTTCGGTACCCTTCTGCACGCGGCCCGTCAATGTCTGACAACATGCCATAAGATGGAGCATCACAAGAGAGCCTCGCTGGCCGAGCTACATGTCTGCATGTCGGTACCCGAGTGCAGACGATTAAACTTCGCCCCCCTATGGAACTCTGTCCAGAGGGCAGTTCAGCTGACAAGTCATGCCTCATCAGTGCTAAGGGCTCTGAGCTTGACAACCTGGCGCTTTCCTAATCTCTATTGGGTTTGCTCCCAGCATCTGCACGTTTCAGCAAGACGTGCCAATACGTGCCAGCATCACCCCGCGCCGAGTACCAGAAATGCTCATGCCAGAGCCGACCTCGAAAAACAAGACACTCGAGACATCTCGAGACACCTCGAGACTCAAGGCCAGTAGCGGCTAGCCAGCCCTAAGGCAGCACTGCACTACTGCACCGCAGGATACCGCAGGCTGCCGCAGGCCTGCACCGGTGCTGGGGAGCTCTCCTGAGTTGTGGGATCACGCTGCCCTGACCCGCAGCCCGTGAAAGCACTAAGTCCTGCAGATCTTTTGCTTCGATCAAATCGGCTGTGTCGCTGACCGCCTGTCGCGCGACCATATGACGTGAGCGCCGCATAGGGATCATAGGGGCAGTGCACAAGTTTTGCCGGAGGCACCGAGGCAGTGGCAGTGCACAAAGCACAAGACAGCCGGCAGTACTTCCCTACCACAAAAGGGAATTTGTGACTGAGACGCCCGTGATCGCTTGTGCAACACAGATCTGAGTCCAAGTGCTGGCCAGCGGGGGGAAACGATGGCAATAGCCCATGGAAGCCTCGTCTCTACCGCACTGACCACCCAACAGCCCAAGCCGGGAGCTCGTGTGCGTGTTGCTGACATCTTTACCAGAAGCCCAGAAAGCAGCAAAAGATTTGCAGCCAGGCAAATGGTTCCAAACCTAAGATGCCGCCATTGCATGCCAACACTTCTGCTGATTTCTGCTGAGACGTGGTGCGGCAAAGTCGGCGGATCTCAGCAAGGCGCCATGTTCTTGTTGTCATCCTCACAGACCTGCAGGCGAAGAAATAATCATTTTGTGTATCAATTTTTCACACTCTCTGACTCAGACTTGGCCTCTGGTTCTGTCCTCTTCTCTGGCGGTGCCCCGTCCTGAACCAAAGTTCCCACGCGCTTCTTGGCCTCAGAAGGTGGGTTGGACATCACGGCCGTCAACTCACGCATTCAGGTATGCCCATTCCGGAATGATTACATACTTTTGTGCTTCTGGGGTCTCGCTAAGTCATGCTACGTAAGTCTGCAGCTCAGCTTATCTGCTTTTCTATTCAACTTCGTATTCACAAGTTCTCTGGAACCGCAATGAACCGCAGACCGCCTCCGACTGTCTCAACGGAAGTTTTGAGAAGTGGCTTGAATTGCTTGAGTCACCATGTTCAAGGAATGAAAGCACACATCACGTCAAGGACGGCACAGAATGCTTCGCCAGTCCTCACTGTTCACGCTGCCGCATTTAAGACTGTGGACTGGAATCTTACAGCCGAGATTCCCATGCCAACTTGCCATCGCTTTGCATCGTAAATCGTGTAGTACTTCCTGCCCCAATCATCCACATTGGCAAACGGGGGTTTCCGAAATTAGGGGTACCCAATTGGGGGCTTCCTTTAAGAGGATTCTATTCCATTTTGGGGTATAAGTACCCATTAAATGGGATGCTGCAAACATGGGTGGGGGCGGGGGACATGTGGCAAGCCGCGGGAAGAAGCACCTACATCGCGGAATCCTGAGCGCTGTCTGTCCAAAGACCCACATCGGTCCGAGGTTCGGCGGGAGGTCCACAGGCCTTGAGAGAAAAGGAAGCCCCCCGAGACAAAGGCTTTGGGCGCTCAGCTTAGGGAGTTCGGGAGGAGTTCGGGGTCAGGTGTGCGCGCCTTTTACTCTTGGGGCTTTTCATGGCTTTTCCCCCCGCTTCATCCTTTAAAATTCCTTCCGGCCGTTCCCATACGACCAGCCGGCCATGGGGACGCAGCTCTTCTTCAGCCTTCAATTTTCCGTTGCGGCCGTGCTCCCGTTGCCGGTTGCGTTGGCCTGTCTTCCGCCTGTTTTGTGGTGGGCGTGGGAAGCCTGTGGAATCAGTTCGTGAAGGGCATGGGAAGCTGTGGGATTTGTGCCGTTTATGGCAACCTGGAAGGCGCTTGGTATCTTATCATGACCCTTTCTTTCCTTGGCCACATGACTCAGCTGGTAAGGCAGGTCATGCAGACAGAAGGCAGTAGTTTTTCGCCTGTGCAACTGTCTGTCTGCGAGTCTTTGCCCATGGTATTGGTGCTTAGTTTGGTCATGCGTTCAGCTTTGGGAACAGCTGCACAATTTTTGTTTTTAGGCTCCCAAGTCCGGGGGCATGACGGAACATTCTTCGAGTATGAAAATGTGGCGTGGCTTAGCCGGACACAACTTGCTGCGGACTCGCGCGTTCTGCTTTTGAACGATTGGATTGCTGCCGGCTTGCCTCAGTCATACGCCTGTTCTGTGCAATTTGTTCTGCTTTCGAGCTGTGTGATACTACTAGTTCTTGTCCATTGGATGCCTACTTGGCCATTCGTGGTGGTTCCCGTACGTGTTGAACGGGATCCTTGGGTCTGGCCACGTGGCCTGTCGCAAGGCTCACGGCCTTACTTGCTAGCAGCGAGTACAGCATTTAAACAACGAAGTCAACATTCGTCCAAGATTGTTCAGAACATCAAGACATTCACTGCAAAACATTCTTCAGCTGGCTTTGCGCATTCTCTTGCAAAGGCTGCGACTGGAAGGCAAAGACGCACTCAGAATCTTTGACCTCTTTGGCCAAAGCAGAACAGAGAAGAAATGAGAGGAAGCTGACAGGCTGATGCCACCTCAGCGAAATCCTTCGCCTCCAGGAGCACGCTGAATGTGCCTGTACTGTGCGGAACGCATGCCGCAGACATCTCACGCCTTCTCAAGCCATGCGTAGACTGAAATGATGCGACAAAGCAGCTGCATGCGCCAAACAAGGACTGAATGCCTCCATCCGAACTCTGTAGTTCAAAGCGGATTGATGGTATCGGCCTAAGTCTATGCCCGAGACGAGTGGCACGGGCCTCTGCAAGCCCCTCAACGCGCAGCATCGCATGGCACTTTTTTCGAGACGGCGGACATGGCGGACATGGGTTCGAGCATCCTTGGCCTCATATGACTCATATCAGAGGGCGCGGGACAAAGCTCAGTCCATTGGGGCCGTGACCTGGTGCATGGATGCCAAGCGGTCTGAAATTCTAAATACTGGGAAATGCTGTTCGGATCCGAGTTTACAAGCGTTAAACACGGTGCAAATACCACTGAAGACCACGCACCACGCAAGCGAAACGGCCTGCCGCTGCCGAGGCCCATGAAGATGGCGCCAACAGCACGGACGCTGAGTTTTGCGCAGCGGCTTGGGGATCTAAGTAAGATGAAGAAAGCACATGCACTCAAGAGCTTGCGGCATGCATGCTTCGCACAAGCCACCAACGGAGGCATAGCCGAGCTGCAGCATGACTTTGGCGTCTCGTGCCTCACTCAGACTGCTACAACACACTGAACGCGTGCATGCTATTCCTTCAAGACATCAGCGCATGACTGGAAGCAACCCAGCCACAGCATGTCTAGATGTATATAGTCCTTAATCAAGGAGTTGACAGTCTCAAAGGCATGGTCAAACTCCTCGCGCTCCATGAAGTTCGTGTAGTGATGAACATGGGCTTTTCTGGAATACAGTCGGGAAAAGTCTTTGACCTCCGCTTGCATCCACACAGTTTCAGATTCTACTGGAACCACAGGCTCGCAACAGTCTCAAACCTACGTGTGCTGCATGTATTTGCCACCAAGCCGCGGTGTGGCTGAACATCTGGTGTGCAGCACAAGTGTTGCCCAAGTGCAACACCGAGTACGGAAGGCCTCGAGGGGCGACTTTGCAAAGGCCAATCCTCACAGCATTCTGGATCGGAAGCCGCATGTCCAGAAAAAGTTGGTGAACTTGCACCATGCCATTGTCTTCTGTGACTCAAACGCCCCCGAGGCTCTTGAAAGCATCTTCATTAAACGGCAGCAACTTTAGCTTCTTCCGCAGTTGACCGATGTTGCCTAAAAGCGAGAGAAAGACGAGTGAGAAGCTGCACAGAATGACACTCAGCTAAGCATGCCAAAGCAAATATGAACATGTTTGGAGCTGAAACGATTTGGTCCTCGTTATACTGGGGCTTGGCTGAAAGAGGGGAAGAGCGCAGGCAACAAGCACATAAGAAAGCTGAACAAGCACAAGGACTTTTCAACACTGACCTCAACTTGAGTTCAGGTGCCTTGACGGACCAAAACACTTCTCAAAAGATCAACAAAACCTATTTCAAAACAAATATACTGAAGGAGTAAAGGGCTTGGGCCAACTAAGCGAGGGCCATGGGGTGGGGGGTGTGTGAGACCCCCAACCCATTTACAACTCTTGTCGAAGATGACACGATCCGTGCCAACTCAGTCACGAAGATGCAATGATACGAAGCAAACGTGGCTTCAGGGTTGGATGCCGTCAAGCATGTGTGGCTTCAAAACATGTAGAGGGGCTGGCAGCGGAAGATTGCAAGCTTATATATCTACGAGCATCTGCAATCCAATCATTTACGAAGTTATCTTTATGTGTATATGTGTTTGTGAGTTCTGCAATCCAATTGTTTTACAAAACTGGCAAGATCAGGGCTTTGCTTATCAGAGGTTCAGTGCTCGGGTCGTGTAATTATTTTTCGTATGAATATACGGCCTCTCAAATGTTAAACTCTTCAGTCACGTGTTCTTTGAGATTTGTTGCCGCTCTCACGTCCATGCCCTTTCGTTTTGCGCCCGAATGACAGTGGTTAGCAAACGCCATGCCGATGCATCAGGGGACTCCGACAAGTGACTTTCCACGGTAATGAAAGGGTCTTTGGTTCATAAGTGCCGAAGCCGACTGGAGTTCAGGTAAAGTTTTAAAGTGCTCTCCTGAAAGTAAGCATTTCAATATGACGTTTCACCTCATTTTCCAAATCTTCAACTCGCATGAGCTTTAACAGAATGCCAGCAAAAAAGGAAACATGTGTACAAGATCGCCGGTGCCCCTGACAAAGGCTACTTCAAGTCATTGCTCCACGCTGGCCGGGGCAAAGGCAGGTCGCGACGAGTTGCATGAAATTATTCCTGATGCTCATGTTCTTGTTTATATCTCTCCCTGTAGACGATTCACAGGTCACAGTCATGGGCGTATCTTTCGCGATGAAGAGACTTGCCCAATTCTTGCAAACGATAGGAAAGACAGAAAGAACGACAAAGCCGACCCACAGAGAGATACTCCCAGTGCCCTCTAGCTGCGTCTAGCTCTACCGCGCACCATGCGTGCGCATGTTGCCTGACACGCCTACGCATGCATCCCGCGAACGTCAGTGCCTAAGCTGTCTCGAAAGCAATGTCGCATTGCTGATTGGCCAAGATGCGGTTCACGTCCGCAATCGAAGCAGAACCGCGAACCAAAAAAGCCAGTGCCATGTATGTGCTTCCCCTGGCACCAACTGGCAGACCGTCTGTGTGCGGATATGTCACATGTCACATATCTACAAGCAAGTGACGTGCTTCAAGAACAACATGGTCAACTGAACACTGCTTGCTTCTTGCATAAAAACGTAAAATACCGAAAGCGCACGAAGATGCAAGAAACTCCTGTCGCACAACTCAGGCGTGCTTGCGAAGCGAGTGGAAACCAAAGTCCCGCTCCTACTGTCGGGACTCCTACGGGCGCAATGCGTCGCCTGCATGATCCATGTAAGCCGGCCTCGGATCCACATTCATGAGCTGATGACCTTGCGTCACCACATCTGAGAACATCTGGTGGAAGCCTTTGCATGGCAAATTCGACGCAGAGTGCAGTGTCCAGCCTACACAGGGATTGTTTTGGCACCCAACCTCTGGAAACAAGCCGCGGGTCCTTGCCGAAGTACAAGGGGCTCATTGATGCCAGCAGGAAATGCATACGGGGAAACGGCACCAAATTCATAGTGATTTCGTTCAAGTCCAAGTTGAGAGACCCCTCGAACCGCATTGAACTGGTCAAGTTGTTCAGCAGATGGGCCACCAAAGAGTTCATTCTGTCGAAGGGCCGCTCGGTACCCACAGATCGTGGTCTCCTGAGGCTTCAGCAGACTTCTCTGCTTCATCAGTTGGATCCTGCTAAGGCAATGCTTTCAGCAACACCATGGCCTGTCACCGGCCGATCGAGGTGCTGGAGCTTCACGAAGCATCGATGCTTCCACGACCGCTTCGAGCTCCCTGGGTCGCGTCGAAACTATGGCTATCGCAATGCAGCCTCAGTTATGTAAGCTACTCTCTCTCTCTTCTTCTGCTCAGCGAAGAGGCCTCTCTCTCTCTCTCTCTCTCTCTAAGCTACTATTCTTGCTAAAGTCTAAAGCTGCTGAGGCAGAGCCTTAAGAGGTGAAAGGTCCGCAGGTTTTAAAAATTTTTAAAAGGTCTGGACATCTGCGCCTCTTTCTCGGAGGTGCTGAAGCTGTCCGTGTCGTTCGGCTATGCTGCGGGCCTGAGTCTGGCAGTCTAGAAAAAGGAGAATATCTAGGGATCTTATGATATCATTGGGACGTCTAGGACGCCCAAGATGCAGTTCTGAGGAAAAGCGAAGATCTACGACAAGGATCCTCCATTTCGGCTTTTGGCTCTGCCCTGGCCTTTCTCCCCTTTGTGCGAAGACTAGGGACCGTTGCACAATCCAGCGGTGCAGTTTCGCGGCTCTAGTGGGATTGGTGGTTTTTTTCGTTGAGGTTGTGCTCGCGATTGGTTGCTTTGCAGTTGGAAACGTGGCTCATGGACACTCATATCATATATGCTTGTTTCAGGTTAACCGCTGGCAGCTCGCTGAGTGCTGCTTAGTCAACTGGGCGTATGGTTCGTCACACGTCTCCCATCCTTCTATACCCCCCGCCTCCCCTCCGCCGCAGACCTGTCCTCCAGTGATGTCCGCCCGCAAGGACAGCGCATTCACAACGCATGCTTAATCTTGCACAAGGCGGAACTACAGGCAAGGCTTTCACACTTTGCCAGCTCGAGAGCTGGAAACTTCCTCAACATCCACTGCACACGCAAAGTCAATGGTCATGTGCTGACCCAGTGCTGACGGTAGAAAGACATAAGCAGACCTATCCGCCGGAGGGCGACGACCACCATGTCGCTCATCCTGTGGCAGGTCAATGAGAGTAGCCTGCGCAGCGTCCTCTCCAGCATCGCGAGCTGATATTTGGTTGCAGATGCCAGCCAGGGCATCATTCGATGTCGGCAGCACACAGTGGGCAGCTTGGATCAACGGACGCATGGCCAGAATCGTATTGTACGGGGAAGTCACAACATCATCGTCTCGAGATGGGCAGACGCAGGAAACAAATCGGAAAACCTCGGGCATGAAGTCTTGCAGTCCCTCTAAGATATATGTTCCCAGCCCACTCCCGGTACCACCACCGAGTGAATGTAGTAGAAGGAAGCACTGCAATGAGTCGCAATGTTCCGCAGCCTTTCGAACTTTGTCTTCAATGCTTTCTCGGTACGTCGGCCCATACACATGATACCCATGTGCCCAATTGTTGCCAGCCCCTGAAACATCCGTGATTCGTTGACGGGCATCAAAGAGATCGGCCAAAGGTCCCGTCAGCAGAGAATTGACAACTCCTTCCTCCATATCCACGAGAAGGCATCTTGCTTTCAGAGTCCGTATCTGATCACCAACTGGAAGACTTGGCAAGTTCGAATGTCTGGTGTCCACATTTCGAAAGAAGGAGGACAGAGCAGCATCATACACTGCCGTCTTTGATACGGAGGCATGTTCACGCAAGACCTTAGCGGCAGCTGTCAACCACACCCCATTGATGCTGTCCCCGTCATAATACATCATGGTAGAGTTCAAGCAACATCTAAATGATGGACTCAGTTTACGGAAGTCTTACGCCCCCAGTATCAGGTTTTACATATAACAGAAGTTTGGAGATCTTGGTCTGGCAAAGTGCCAAGTCCCAGAATCGGCAGCCGATCTGATTGCCACATTGGCCCACCTGCCGGTGAAGTTTGACTGCCAGCAACCTAGGCCCTGCAGATGAGACTCAGAGACGTACGAGGGGCCTGGATGGTGAGTACTTCCCTGGGCATCCCTGCCCAACGCCCATGTGCAGAGAGCGCATGGCACGTGCAATGCCTGTGTAGATGTTTCTTCAAGCTGTCTTTGGTGCTTCAAAGTGCAGATGTCCGCGTGCAAAGCGGGCTGCGCAGCTTTTCCTGTCCTGTTGCCTAACAGTAGGGGCTAACATGTGCTTCGAAATAAACCAACCCAACAGATGCCATGCGTAAAAAGTCAATGTGCTCGCCTGTCGAAGACTCTGAAGACGGTCTCATTTTTCTCTTACACGCAGCAATCACGCAGCAATCTATTCCGCAGCCCCTACCTTTAGCAATTCAGCTGCGCGCTCTGTGTACATCCCCAAGGTGAAGCCATAGCTGCCAGCTTCAATTTCACCGGAGTAGCTTTGCAACCTGCAGCAGCTTTACAAAATCAAATATAATTACACCTGCTGTGCAGACTGCACCACATGTCCTTGAGCCCCCTCAGCCCAGAACTCCTCCACATAACCCATCTCCAGCATTTCGTCCCAAGCCCGACGAACATCATCCAGGAACGTGTCATCAAGCAGGATACGGTTGTTCTGCAAATTGGCAAGTCCAGCCAGATTCTTTAAGTCTCTTATTGCACAATCGTAGCTGTGGCCACCATCGATGAAGATTAGCTCACACCTTGAACGCCCCCGACCCCCTCAATCTGTTCCGAAGGTGAATGCAAGGAGCAACTGAGTCAGGAGCTTGACCTCGGGATGGTTCCTATGGAACTCCGGAACTGTGACTAAGGAATCGCCCCACGTCAACTGCAGCCGCCTAGGTTTGCACAGAACCGGCTCGCGAAAAATGTTGTCCAGCAGCAAACTAACCAAAAAAAGCTCTGATGCCCAAATATTCAACATGAAAGTAGATGAAACTGCAATGCAAACAAAGACGATTATCACACTGTGAAAGGTTAGCGCGATGACATAATTCTGACATTGTGACCTGTTGTGACATTGCAATACTGCAGAGGCGCTTGTCGGGGAATTGGCTGGCCAGCCACATGGCAGCTGGTCGAGAGTAAGGGTGGTCTCCAAGATCGAAGGAGAGCACCTCCGGCTGCCAGGCGCAAAAAAGACACAGCCGGGACGACGCTGCAGTCATGAGGATAGCACGCGACCTTTGCGCTGGAATGCATCAACCATCGCAGCGCACTGTGCCCAGCGTTGAACCCAATCTCGCAAATGGTTCTCACACCCGGTTCGGCAGCTATCCTCAACTGCCGCCACCGCTAAATTGGCATGGAGAGAACATCCTGGCTAAGTGTTTTTCTCAAATCGGCCAAGTTGCTCGTTCATTACTTCAATAGCCTCAGGCACCATGTTGGTGTGACCTCCCAGATCAGGATTCCAATCGGACAACCTTTACAGACATGTCCAGCAACTTTCCATGATGATGCGCCTTCTATCTCGCGATCTGGATGCCAAATGTGTGCAATCGAACCTTTTGGGAGCGGTTTGTCGGTGAGGCGCATGGACCAGGCAACCATGGCATCTAGTCCTGGAAACATCTGGAAACAGACAGCAACAGAAGCGCGCTTCAGCACACTTCCCAATGCTCACTACGCCAAGGGCCTTCGGTGAGCTCGGCTTCGGTCATGTTCTTCTTTGGCCCTCGTCTCATCGCCAGCGGTGGCGAGAACCAGTACCCACCTGAGCACTTGATGGCACGCACACAGCTTCTTGCAGGTTTGTTGTTGCTCACTCTCTGAATTGAAGCAAACCGCGGAGATTCTGCGTTGCCGCAAAAAGTCTCGTCGTCATATCCTCCAGCACTCCAGCAGCAGCGAGGCCAGCAAGCAGAAATAGCTTACACCACAGCTCGACGCACTATGCTGTGATGATGAAACCTCCCTCAAATATCCCGAAATACAACCGCATGCTCCACTTCCTTACCTACCCTTGACTTCGAATGCTGCCGTTAAGCATCAGGAGGCGATGACTTTTGAGCTTGACAGATGCTCCACACGAGTGATTTCTAGATGATCTGGCCATGGATGTTTCTTAAGAGGGGGAGGGGGCTGGGGGGTGGGGGGGGGGGGCGTGTGCCGAACTGATATGCACCTCCAGATGGCACCATCGACAAGCAGCAATCAAGCTTCTTGACTTATTGGCCGGATAGTCAAAGGTGAAAGATCGGCACTTCTGGACGTCCTCTCCGAAGTTGGTGGAGGAGAAGCGCCCCACGAGTTGGCAGTCCAAGCGCCAACGCAATGGCGTACAAGTCCTCACATATGTCACATCTGCCGGAACTACATGTGGAGCGAACATGAGCGAACAAAACGGCCTGAGGCCTGGTTCTGTCACCCTCCAGGCCTCAGTGCCTTCCTGGCACCGGCCGCCGTGATGAAATATGCTGGGCCTACTCGAAACCTGGGCAACTCAGCCCAAGAACCCAATGCCGTGTCGACAATGCCGAGATGCGAGCAGCAAAGGCAAGACAAGCAGCCACGGGTGCACGCGCTTTAGGCCGGGTGCAACACTGTGGGCTTTCACCTGCTCGAGGTCCTGTGCCGCCACACTTCTGACTTCAAGAAATCCGGATTCCGGGTGCTGCTGCCAAGCTGCGATGTCGCGTTGGTGGCCCAGTAGGTCCGTACCAGCCAAACATGCAATCTCCCAGTCGCTAGGCAAACTTTGTAGCCGCTCCTCGAGCCTCGCTCTCAGCATCTCGCAGTATCTCATGTACTCATATATTCGATCTGTAATCGCTGCGGTGGTGCTTTTTCCATGAAAATGCCGGCAATCCGGCAATCCGGTGTAAGCTGCGGGCAACTGCGAGTCCAAGGTGGGCAAGAACGCGCAGTCGTCCTCGGCTGCCAAACCAGCTCATTCCCATTACATCCCATATATGCTGATGGATAACGGGCCTCGACGACCAGATAGACGGCGTCTGGGCTTTCTGCCTCGCGCTCGATGTCTGCCCAAACCTGTATATTCTGGGCCGAATCGACAGTGTTAGGGCAACAACAAAGCCACACCGCACTAGGCCTGCAGTTGTGACAAGGCTTGCCCCAAGCTGCCCCTTGTCAGATCCAGCTCCCTTAGCCAACCTGCCATGCATGTCATGTAAGCCCATGTAGGCGCTGCAAATGTCCAAAAAGAGGAAGCACGTTTTTAAGATGTGCAACGGAACAAGACATACAGCGGTGATCTGCCTCCATTCTTTCTGCCTGGCGCCTCCCTGCCCCGACGGACGTGTCGCCATCTTCTGGTCTCCCGCCACATCTTTCGCCACTCGTCATTCACGAGGACACCTAGCTTGTGGCCCCAGTGGGCTTTTCGTCGTTCTGACGGGAAGTCGGCATAAATCGACACCAAAGTTTGGCAGGATGTCGTGCAGAACAAGCTTGTTTTGTCTGCTAACTGTGGAAGCTGTGCCTTTGAGATGAGGCTCGGGGGAGGGCTGCAGGCTCTACAACGCCAGAGTCCACGATTTCCAAGATCTCATCCTGCTCGGTGCGCAATCGTGAGCTCGATCAATCTGCTAAACTGCAACACCCGCCTGCAAGTTGAATCCGTCTACTGCTTCCCACTTGCGGATGGGAACCTTGTGTACGGTGTTGGGTTTCATTGCAGCCGAGACATGCGTGGAATTGCAACTTCCAGATTCCTTCACCCCTTTCTTCTTTCTCGACTAGCAAGCGCGGGACGTCCAGGCGCAGTCGGCCCAGCGCCTTGTCAATCTGTTCTGTGCGCCGCCGCCGCCGTATGCAGTACACTGCGTGCAGATCCTTCAGCCTGGGCTCATCAGAACCGTGCTTATCATGTCGTGCTGACAGGAACAGGCGGTGTATGCGGCATCCGGAAAAGACATTGAGCACAGTGTCGTGGTTGCAAAGGTTCTGGTGCAAAGGGCAGTCACCTCTCGCGCAAACAGAAAGCATCAGAAAACTACCACTCAGCGGCACGTTGAGGCTCCAGCCGCGAGGGCCATGGGGAAGGCCAAGAGGCATCCGGAACCAGCTCGCCTAGACCAATTGAAGCGAACATGGACGTGTTGAACTCATTGAGGCCAGTTCAGGTCTCAAAACAGGGCCTGGTGCGACGGCCCGATGCCCAGCGCTCCATCTGCATTGCAGAGCATAGGGGAGCAGCTGCACATACTGCGCTACCGGCAATTTTCGGAAGCAATGTTGGAGATGTTAGGGGCAGCTTAGTCCATTGTTGCGTAAGTTCAGGAATGTTCGGCATTTCCTGATCCAGTAACCAGTACCAGTGCGTCTGACCGTGCCAAACTCTTCTTGGATTTGCGTCATACAGCGTGACCCTAAGAATCTGCCACAGCATGAGCCGGAACAGGCAACAAACAGGCAACAATCGCAATCTCAGAATAGAGAGCTTTCTGCGATTTTCCACCAAACCTGCGTTGGGCCCTGGCTGTTTGCAGTCTCCTAAAGCACTGAGAAGCTGTCCAACCTGCACCGCCACACTTGGCAAATCTTGTGCCATGCTTCTTCCAAAGAGTGTGCCCTCTCAAGGCTCACACTTCTCGCCGGGGGCCCATCATCAGTGCCGTTCCCGTGTCCATGGCCACCTCCGTTTGGACATAAAAAGAGGGAAAAACGAACTGGATGTATGCTACGAGGTTCGGCCTGGCAGCCAGCTGTGGTGCCAGATGTGTCGCAAAGGTGAAGAGCTTTGTCTTCCACCTTTGGGTCCCCAGTGCATCATAAGGACAAGGACAAATAATGCCCTTTCATGAATTACAAGTAACGCGTTTGCACTATGTTGCAGAAGGCGGTCAAGATGCACCATGCCTACATCTAGTACGACAATCGATGAAGACACACTCGTCCCACGATTGACACCGACCAGACCCTCATGTCGGGTCGAGTCCCACCTTTTCGGTCCCACCCTCCCCAGCCACTCGCCAAAACAACGACATTGCTCAACTCTCCATGACTGGCCCCTCAAGCAACACACGACCTACCCAAGCGTGCTCAGATGAATCCACGCAAGCATGCACCAGAGCACCTGCACCGAACTGGTGGTCTCGAACTGAGTGTGAGTCTTGCAGATAGTGGAAAATGCGCATTATCATTGAGAAATGATAACCATGTTGGGAGACCTGTGGGGAACATTGAAAATGAGCAGCAAGATGCTTGCGAGAAATTACTAGCAGCCTGTTGGAAGGTCTCAGAAAATAGTGAAAAACTTTTGCTCATAGCATTCTCGCGTCCCGGGACTTACAGTAGATGAGTTTTTCGCCTCACCCTATGCACCCGAATACTTCCTAGTCTTATGTTTCGAGGCTTACCATCCTTCCTTCTCCAAAACGATATACAGTACATATACCCTATATGAGCGGGGGCTTTTGAATTGTAATCCCATAGGTAATGCCTAAACAACCTTTAGACCCTATAGAGTTTAAACCCCTATAGGGCTAACCCTGTGAGGGCTGTAGAGAGAAAACCCTGAAAACTCTAAACCTTTAAACCCTGTAGGGCTTCACGGTTCGCAAACCAAGGTCTGGGTATGGATACCTTCAGCGCCTATAGGCTTAAAACCTGTGAGCCTTTTCGAGCCCTACACAGTCTTAGGGTTCTGATCCTAAAGGTTTAGGGTTAAGGTTTAACTGCCTGACCTTAAACTCTAAGGTTTGAGCTTTATGGGATGGTTTAGGTTCAAATGCCCAAATCGTAAACGCTACACCTTTAAACCTTAACCCTATAGGGTTCAAAGGTTAAGGGTTTAGGTTAAATTGCCCTATTTATGTTTAAGTGCCTCAATCTTAGTCTTAAACCCCAAAACTTTTAACCTTTAGCCTATTGGGTTTAAATGTGAAGGGTTTGGGCTTCATTGCTTCACCCTAGGGCTGTAGAGAATTGCCCTAATGAAAACCAGGGAGCGCAGTAGAGCGGAGGGAAGGAGAGGGTAGGGGGGGGGGTTGTTCAGGGGTCTGGCCTCCCCCCCCCCCCCCCCCCCCCCCCCCCCTTTTGATAAGCAACTTCACGCTTATGAGCCGTATGTTGTGTGACAAAACTCTTTCCAACCAAGATTGAGTATCCAGACTACGTACCAACTCATGCAAGTTTTGAACGCCTAAATCTTAAGCCCTGAAGGCTTAAATTAAATTCTATGTTAATGCCGAAGTCTTGAACCCTAAGCCTTTCAACCTTAATCCTATAGGTGTAAAGGTATTGTAAAGGTTATGGGTTTATTTTTAGTGGCCTAACCCTATAGGCCTATAGGGTTTCGGCTTGAGAGCACAAAGCTACGAAAGCACGTTTAAATTTAAATGGCAGGGGTCCCAGATCCAAGATTCAAGATTTCCCATCTTGGTGAATCTCGAAAACCGGCCGCTTCAATTGAAACGAAAACGTTTCAATTGAAATGTCCGGGATCCAAGATCCAAGGTTCAAGATTTTCGAGGACTCTTGCCGAGACATCTTGGAATCCTAACACTCGAAAACCAGCCGATTCAATTGAAACGAAAACGATACACTTGATTCGGGCAGGATCCAAGATTTAAGATTCCAAGATGTCTCGGCAAGAGTCCTGGAATCGGGCAGGATCTAAGATGGAAGGTTCCAGAGATGCCTCCGGCGATCTCCGGCGACAGCCCTGGAAAATCTTGGATCTAGGATCTTGGATCCCGACTGTTTCAATTGAAGGCCGGCCGTTTCAATTGAAACGGCCAGAATGCAAGATGATCCCAGACGCATGACGACGAGACGTCTCATTGATAAACCTGGATCAAGACATGGTTGCGTTCACTGTGAAGCAGACGGAGCTGTTTCGCTATGACATTACGAGAAAAAGGGCACCGAAAGGGCAGATCTTTGGGGGGGTGGGGGGGTGGGGGTTTTTTTGCGGGTGGGGACACCATATGTATGTATATATATATATACATATATATATATATCCGCCGACCCCAGCTTGAGCGGGGGCGGCATCAGCTGCCCCTGCAAAATCCCGTACCCTACTCCCTACCCCCCGGCCTGCCCCCTCCCTACTCCCCCTACTGGCCTCGGATTTCGGATGCGGCCGAGAGCTTGGAAAACGCAGAAACACTTCAAATACTGTGGTTTCGTGCTGTTGCGGACCTTTCCGTTTTGAGGCCGGCATGTGCCCCCATAAGCCACGCGCCTGGTGATGCTCATGATGCGCGCATCATCGAGGCTTCGGCTCCTGGGCGGAAGGGGAGGGAGGGTTTATGGCGGCAGGACGTCGAAGGAGGCTGCCATAACATGGCGCTCGACTTGCCACCCCCGCACACGCCTGCGTGCGCGCGAAAATAGCACCAGTTCGCGCACGCGCGCGTGCGCTCGCGGTCTTGTGGTTGTTGTTGCGGTTGTTGTTGTGTTTGTTGTTGTGGTTGTGGTTGTGGTTGTGGTTGTGGTTGTGGTTGTGGTTGTGGTTGTGGTTGTGGTTGTGGTTGTGGTGGTTGTGGTGGTTGTGGTTGTTGTGGTGGTTGTGGTGGTTGTGGTGGTTGTGGTGGTTGTGGTGGTTGTGGTGGTTGTGGTGGTTGTGGTGGTTGTGGTTGTTGTGGTTGTTGTGGTTGTGGTGGTTGTGGTTGTTGTGGTTGTGGTTGTGGTTGTGGTTGTGGTTGTAGTTGTAGTTGTAGTTGTTGTTGTTGTTGTTGTTGTTGTTGTTGTTGTTGTTGTTGTTGTTGTTGTTGTTGTTGTTGTTGTTGTTGTTGTTGTGGTTGTTGTTGTGGTTGTTGTTCTTGTTGTTGTTGCTGTTGCTGTTGCTGTTGTTGTTGTTGTTGTTGCTGCTGTTGTTGTTGTTGCTGTTGGTGTTGTTGTTGTTGTTGTTGTTGTTGTTGTTGTTGTTGTTGTTGTTGTTGTCGTTGTCGTCGTCGTCGTTGTTGTCGTCGTCGTCGTGATCGTGGTTGTTGTTGTTGTTGTTGTTGTTGTTGTTGTTGTTGTTGTTGTTGTTGTTGTTGTTGTTGTTGTTGTTGTTGTTGTTGTTGTTGTTGTTGTTGTTGTTGTTGTTGTTGTTGTTGTTGTTGGTTGTTGTTGTTGGTTGTTGTTGTTGGTTGTTGTTGTTGGTTGTTGTTGTTGGTTGTTGTTGTTGGTTGTTGTTGTTGGTTGTTGTTGTTGGTTGTTGTTGTTGGTTGTTGTTGTTGGTTGTTGTTGTTGTTGTTGTTGTTGTTGTTGTTGTTGTTGTTGTTGTTGTTGTTGTTGTTGTTGTTGTTGCTGTTGTTGCTGGTGTTGCTGGTGTTGCTGGTGTTGCTGGTGTTGTTGTTGTTGCTGTTGTTTTTGTTGTTGTTGTGCTGGTGTTGGTGCTGTTGGTGTTGGTGTTGTTTGTGTTGGTGTTGTTGTTGTTGTTGTTGTTGTTGTTGTTGTTGTTGTTGTTGTTGTTGTTGTTGTTGTTGTTGTTGTTGTTGTTGTTGTTGTTGTTGTTGTTGTTGTTGTTGTTGTTGTTGTTGTTGTGTTGTTGTTGTTGTTGTTGTTGTTGTTGTTGTTGTTGTTGTTGTTGTTGTTGCTGATGTTGTTCTTGTTGTTGTTGTTGTTGGTGGTGGTGGTGTTGTTGTTGTTGTTGTTGTTGGTGGTGTTATTGTTCTTGTTGTTCTTGTTGTTGTTGTTGTTGTTGTTGTTGTTGTTGTTGTTGTTGTTGTTGTTGTTGTTGTTGTTGTTGTTGTTGTTGTTGTTGTTGTTGTTGTTGTTGTTTGCCCCCTGCAGCACATACTGCTGAAGCACTTATCAGTTGATGCAAGTCGACAGGTACTGAAAGCTAAACACCCATCTTCTTCCTTTCTTTCAGGCTCAAAGGCAGAATAGAGAGGTCACCTCCTGCTGCCTAGCCCACCTCTTGAAGCCCGCGCAATGCTGCATACATGCCCTTCGCTGCCGCTGCAGCCAGACTCATCGACCATGCCAATGAAGTCAAAGCTCGCTGCGCTGAATCTTTTCTGCAAGGCCATGCTACACACAGGCAAGCGTACCCAAGATCCGGATGCAAACCTCTACATCTCGGATGAAGCCAGAGGTCTAGCTCGACGGGAGAACTGTGCGCTCGCACCCACCCTCAGACTGGCAGCGCGCAGTTACAACTGGATTCGAATCCTCTCTCAATCAGCTCAGCCTAATCTTCCATTGCTGGCCGAAGCTGAGATGGCATCCCTAACATCACCCATCGAGACTCCCCCTTATCTAAAGCACTATGAGGCAGAACGAAGCTCACTCACCTTGCAGATGATACTTGAAACAGTGCACATTTACACTGAAGAGGAAACCATGGAGCCGGACGACTTCAAGCTAGCGGCCCTTATCATCTCCCAGACCTTGTACAACCTGGGAATGGGTGGGCAAACGGTCAGGGACATCGTCAACGGAGCGGCCCAGCATACGCGCTGGATCCTTCCCAGCAACTCTACAAGAGTCCTGAACGGAATTCACCTTTGTCTCTTCCCTTCGGACACCTCGCCGTGGCCGCGAGAGGAAGACACCAATCCACATGCTCAAAGAGATGAACATGCTTTGGGCATCCTCGACGCGGAAATCCACATGCTCAAGCGAGCGTCCACGATCTACCGGACAATAGCCATGGTCGACTTCATGGTCGCCAAAGCAAAAGGAGCACGAGTGCCAGAAGACATCTACCCAGCGAACCCTGGGATGTCTTGCGACAAGACCAAGCCATGGCACTTCTCTCCTATGCAGAACACTTGACGGAACTCCATGATCTCTTGCCCAACAACGCC